TCAAAATGGAAGATAGAGCCACACTCTTCTGCTCCTGACTACTTCTAAGAGGCCCAGTGTTAGAGTACAGCTTGTAACACAGAACAGGATTATTGCGGGAACAACGCTCGCGTGGTAAATACCCACATTCCCCACAGCCTCTAGACCAGGTGTCCCACTTCACTGGGACATCCTATTCATGGTGTCGGAGCAGGAATCCCTACCTGGGATTTCAGACATCTAAAATACAGCGAGGTCAGACCAGCTGAGCAGAATTTAAACAAACCAACTTAAAAAATACAAAACCTATAAACACGTACTGGCTTAAGCATGCTTTGCTGTTATCTTTAGAATAATCTGCCTCTTTTTTTCATCATGAAAATCCCTGAACCTAAGAAGCAATTAGATGCCATTTATAAAACAAAATGCTGAGAAACCCTTCCCTCCAAAAACTCTTGGCAAAGGGTTCATCAGGATTCTTCTTAATGTGATAAATTACACAAGTGAAGTTCCAAATAATTTCTTCTGGCACATCTGATGACTGGGTGTAGAGTTTATATATATATATATAGATATATATACACATACACACACACACATACATACACATACACACACACCTTTCAGTTAGTTAACTGTTAAAAATAGTAACTTTGTTTTGAATATTCAATCACTGACTATTTTAAATTGAATTCCTTCCTTCAGAGTCAGATTGTGCGTGCTGAAGAAAGTTCTTGAACAAATACAATAGAATCTTACAGTACTACTTACATGACAGAACCACTAAAACCAATAGGACATTACTGCTATGAAACAACAACACTTGGACTATGCTGGTATTGAATCAAGCTACAATAAACACTAAGTTTGGGACAGCTGTGTATTTATTTTCCAAATCCAGATGATCAGACACCTGCTGAGCCAGTAAATTAACTTTTTAAAGGAGACCTCTCAAAGAGCATCATTTGCTAAGGTAACTCTAAAAAAAGGACAGAGCAAGTATGGACTTTTAAATATATCCATCTTTTCTAGAAGAATCCAGATGCATTCTGAGTGTATAGAGCAGAATAGAGACCTTCTCCATCTCACCCAGAACAAGTGGCAGAAACAGCCTGTCCCTCCTGAGACTCTGCCTAGCACTCTGGGCTCAAGTCCTTCTTATCACTTAAAAGTTATCTTCACAGTTATTGTTGCTCATTTATCTAGAACAGTATCATGGGCAGCACTTTGTTTTTAATAATGGAAAAGTAATTTTGCTGCTCTGTTTCTAGCAATAGACTACAAATTCACAGAGATTTTTACTCAATCTATTACAGTGTTTTCACTGTCAGGTTAGGGTATGCATCAAACCACAAGAGATTTACAAGACAAGCTGAAGAGCCCTAAAACAAAAAAAATTGGACTCTTTTACTCAAGCTTCTCTATCCATTGAGCCTGAAGTTGTCAAACAAGAAGCAGGCTTCAGCTTGTTTATTGTTTATAGCCTGTTTATTTCCCCAAATCCACAAGTGTCACAACAAATGACCCTAAAAGGCACCATAAAGGGCAAGAGCCTTAGTACCTTTTGCAGTGAGCAAGTTCTTGTTCTGGCAATTTCCTGCCAGACAGAGAAGACAGATGATTAATCTGGGAGCACTGAGAAAGCCTCACACAACAGAGCTATCAAGTCACAAGGTTGTCAGCTGAGACCCCTAAAATTTCCCATTAAAACTAACTGACCCCCTTGTGTGTGCCAGTGAACACAACTGCAAGAATCTAGTCGACATCCTGCGCTTCCTCTTAGCTTTCTTTTGCCTCATCTTACAGCACCTCACTGCTATCTTTTTCCAGCTAGGAAGTGACATACTGCAGTCTGCCAGGCTCACACCAGGGTGGTCCACCAGTAGGGTCTACTTCCATGGGCTCACTGCTCCCAGCCACCCCAGAATCTTTGAGGCCACCATTCTGCTCCCACAGAGCCATGGAGACAGCTTTAGAACTAGGAATTTGCTTTTGAGATGTGGTGCCAAGCAAAATAATACAATATTAACTGCATGAACTACTAAATTTCAAAAGAAGAAAACCTAAGAGCCATCCTTTCTTATTGACTTTATCTCTTTCAAACCAGAAGATGACACTCTGGTTTTTAGAAGGGTTGCATGTATCTGCTTTCCTAGTCACTTGGAAGGAGCTGACAGCTTTCAGCACTTCAGCAAACACTGCTTTGAGATTCTTTAACAGAAGGAAGGAAGCAGCAGCCAGATGAGAAGCATGTGAGGGAACGCATCTATTAGCAAGTACAGGGAGATGTCTTGTTAATAGAAGACAGCAGGAGGGACAAAGCAGGAGGAGAAAGAAGCCAGCAGTTAGTCATTTTCTCATACAGATACATTTGGCTAGAAAGGAGATGCATACCAATCTAGTATTCCTTCCTGCACTTTCAGAGCCAGTGAAAACCAACACTGAAAAGCCAAACTGAACACCAAAAGGCCTCTTCAAAAATGGTTCAGCACGCTTAGAAGCTCTCAGATAAGGAAAACCGTGAGAAAATGGAAGTTTTCCTGGTAATGGTTACAGGACTGAGACCTTCCATTTTCAAAAATACCTTTTTGATTCAAATTTCCTGCTGCTGTTTTGGATAGTGAAAAGCTAAAGCTTCTTGCCTCCAAACCAGAGGACATCTAAGGATGGCCTAAGGGTGGCAAGGGACCAATGAGTGGGCCCACCAAGAATAAGCTTTGCCATTTGCAAAACCCTTTCTCCGGCTCCTTCTGTGAGCATGCAGTATGAAGAGGTGTCTGAGCCTCCAAGACAGGCTGAGAAGGTTTTGGGTTTGTTTGGTTTAGTTTTTTTTTAAAAAGCCATTTTGGAGAGGAAAGGGGAAGAAACAGCAGAGCAGGGAAAGAGACGAAAGGCTCGAGTAAAAGCAATGAATTGACACAACAATCAAGTTTTGTATCACCACCCTTATGAGAAGAAACATCATTTGTCTGTGTTCAGCCTGTGGAATAAAACTCAAGTCTCACCACAGCAATAAAGATCAAAGATACAGATTAGCAAGGTAATTCCTCATCTTGTGTCATTGCCATTAAGAACAATATTGCTTTTGCTGTAGCAAACGTTGCCCATGCAGTTTCTTTAAGGAACAGGAACATAAATAAAATTGATCAGTAACACACTCTCTAATGCTGCCTTTAACTCCGATTAAGAGATATTTAATATCAAACCATCCTTATGCAAAATCTGCATAAAAATAAAAGAGTTTTTACAAGATTCTTTGTCCAAATCATCACCTATGTTACCTCCTGAGCAACAGCATTCCCTGCATTCTTTTGCAGGCTGAAAAGGATTTACTGCAGCATTGCTATTTGCTCCAACCTGCCATCCCAAAATGACATTTTGGCATATAGCTGGTTTTTATTACTTATGTTTAAGAAAAGCTCTACATAATATAGTCGCTCTGAACAACATCTAATATATACTTGACACACAGCACGCTGTTACTCAGCCCAAAAACTTCTCATTTAACTGAATTTTAATAGCATGTATCAATGCAAAGAAGAGAGAAAGAAATAGTTACCCCTTTCCTGACTAATCAATAAAGCTAAAAAACCCATAAATCCCTGAACTGCCATGGGAAAATCAGTATGCAGTATGCCACATATATCAAGGAGATATGAGGTTCTGCACCTGATGTTTTCTTTTTTTGGATTTTATAAAGAATGAAGGGGAAGAAAAACCAAAATCACAGCATGATTCATCATTATTTGCATGAAACTGCAGCAAAATCAAGATATTAAAATCCACTTGCCACACTTTTTTTTTTTAATACTTTTCATAAGCCTGTTTTCATAAGTCTTTTCATTATCTACTTCTGCCCCATGTTGGGGACACGATATTGAGCCCAACAGGTATTTGATTTGACTTAATATAACTATTATTCTCTTCTTAAAGACACACCAAGATAGTAAATAATGACAAATAAGGAAAGGTCAAAGAGAAGCCAGAGAGAAGGAAACCAGTGACAGATAAAGGACCAACTCAGCATAAACATATTTTCCCCGTGAATAATGCTGGAAGTGGTAATAAGATACTGAAATGTAATTCAACTACTAGATCAAGTTCCATTGCCACACTAAAATTACATTTTATCTGCCAATTCCAGGTAAATGCAAAATTGAAGCAAAAACTCATCTGCAGATAGAGACATACTTTCGGTGTGTATATTGTATACCTGATAGTAAGATTTCCTTTGATTCCTTCATCAACTTAGGCCTGATTCTGGTGACAACAGGGACTTTGTTATTACAACTATGAAGTTTTTAGAAGCACAATGTTTATACACCAGTGACTTGTTCTGTGAAAACACCCAGGCACTTTCCACAAACTACAAGGATGCTCAGCACAATGAATAATTGCTCAGCACTTCATTTTCTACATAATAATCATTTTCTTATATGTAACTAAATATTTTAAGCAGTTTAGTAATTTATAAGCTTAGCTGTGGACAACTCTGTGTTTTTGGCATCAGTACACAGACTGCCTGAAGTGTTGATACTCTATGTCCTCAAACAGTTCCTAAGTGTCCTCATAATTGCTTGTCACCTGTAAAAGACGTTTAGATCCAATGCAAAACTAACATATGGTGAACAGATGGACTCAGACAGACGTTTGTCGAGACAGTACTCACACGAAAGACTTTTTGGCTTCAGCCTTTTAGGACCTTCAGAAAAGTCCTACTTGAAGCTTCAAGTCATACTACTCAGAGGAACATCATTCCTCAACGACAACCTCATGCTGCAAAAACTTTTATGACCTGCTACAAAGCAGAATCCTTGCAACTTTCCTGTTATCAAGTACCTCCATAAGCAGAAGAAACAAAATGCTGTTTCTACAGGGTACCCCACCCCACCAACTAGAATAATTCATCTTGTGTGAAACCAAAATGCAAGCACAAGGCTGATTATATCATTACAATTAAAAATTTTTTAAGAAAACCTGCCCCCCACCATGCAAACTCTTTAAAATACTCCATTACTTACTGAGGAGGTAGGACAAGTGTTGTTGGCTGGGCTTTTGGCCTGCGTTTTGCAGATACTCCCATCTGGTTGGCTGAACGTTTCAGAGACTGCTGATTCAGAAGGCCAGATGCCAGCCCGGCATGGTACTGCAACTGGAAAATAAAACACATATATATTAAAATACACACCACTGCAGTACACTGTCTGTGTCAGATCTCTAGTATCTGTACCACCCGATTCAAATTACAGCCAGTCACTAAGTTAATGTATGGTATTTCATACAGAGTGCTTGGGTAGAAGATGATGCAAACAAAAGCATATTTATAGTCTGCTGTGAAATAGGTATCACGAGGAAGTTATGCTATAGGGCAAGTAAGATGATGAATCAAAGACATCTTCTCAAGTCCTAACTCTCCTGAAACTTGAGCTTGCTTTTCAATGTGAAGGCTGTTTCTCCTCTCAAGGGATCAAGGATTCTTACTTTTTGGAAGAAAAGAAGAAGGAAGATGCATAAACCAGCTTTTTAAAAATAACACATCTTTTGTTCTTAAACATAAAACCACCAATATCCACAAAGAAGTTCCTACCACTGTAAAGAAAAACCTACCCTTTAAAATACCTGCTAGCACCTCTCCATAGCATTGCAGGAAGATTGACATTCAGCAGCTTTCTCCTAACCTTTTATTTTACTTGCCAGTGAAAGACAAATTTTTGAAGGACACAACATGAATCTGCAAGATCTTGAGTACGATCCCACTGCTCACAGATGTAAGAACAGCTACAGTACTGTGTCTGTCCTGAAACCAGCTTCAAGTGCAACAAGTTGAAAGCTCACCTCTAAAACCTTCCAATTTACATTTAGTTCTCCACTTCTGAAGGAGGTGGGGGGGGAAATCCAGTGTCAAACAAAGGCAATTTCCTTCATCATTCTAGTCCCCACATCAACGTGTTCTTTAAATTGTCTTAAAGATTTGGCTTGAAAAGGTGAACTGTTTAACAACTCCAATGCAATGGTGTGAATCTAAAAAAGATTACAGTTAGGAAAATAGGATTTAGGTATGTTCAGAAAATAAAGTGGGCTTAGGCAAAGCTATTCTGCAGAGGACTGGCTGAAAATGAGAGAAACAAAGTTTGGTAAAGTGATCTACTTGAAAATGGCTATTAAAATGAGTGAAGCTATCCAGTGAGGCAATCTGACTCAAATGTCAATGCTCAGAGCATCCATAAGGCTTTTTAACAGGCTCCTGATTTACTTGGCTGCTTTGCCACGTGATCTTGGCCGTGGCACAACATGAAGACACATCGCATTCCTAATGGGAAGAGAACTGTGCTCTGCCAGGGAAGGGGGGGATTGTAGTGCCCCAACAGCTCAGCTCAGAAATGAATTTTGCTCAAATTTGTTTTTCTCCGACAGATTTCTGAAATGAAAAAAAAAAAAAAAATAAGAATAAAAATCAATGAGAGCACTGGACAGCACATGTTTGAAAGGCAATGTTTCAAAGTGTCAGGGGCTTAGTTTTCAATCTTCACTCCCAGAATCTGCAGTGAGTGCAATATGCAGGGAATTAAAGGGTAAGAGCTCTGGCAGAAGACCCCTCCAACTCCAGGAACACGCTTCTCCCTTTTCTTCTTGCATCTTACTGCCAGCAGCCCTCCTGTAGCCATTTTGTGTTGGTGACACCATCCACTGTGCAGAACGACACTGGCAGCTATTCCATGGAAATACCAGTTGGGCACTTGCTCAGAGATGGAGGTAACCAGCAGTGCTAAGCATAGATGCATTTTAAATGCAACCTTTTCAAATCATTTCATAGCCTCCCAGCTAGTCTGACATTTACTGGTCAGGCATTAAAGAATAAGTATATTTCAACAATTTTATACATGAAGGCTGACCCCCAGTGATTAAGCTACTTTTATTAATTATAGGTATTTCTTTATAATCTACCTTTGCTCCTAGGAATGCAGATCCAACTGTCAAAATCTATAAGGGCCATTAAATATTTACCAACCATCCTTATAATGGGAGAAAAGGTCAAAGTTAATAAAACTGACAGACAGCTTCTGTCCAACTTGATTTATACATTATTAAAGTATCACATACTGTATTGCACAGAATGCAATGCTTTTGGGGGGCAAAGAGGTGTTAACTGGAGATTGGGAAATTGTTTCTTAATCACTTGTTCTGAAGAGCAGAAACAAGACTGAAAATAGTGCCAAAACAGTTAACACTAACATCAAAACTATAGCCTGAAGATTCAACTGTCCTGATGGATAATAACGTTCCTTTTTTCCCTTGTAAAATAAACTCCTTTGTCTGCCAGCATCAGCCACGACAGTGAATCTCAGATAGAAACATACCAATCCCCTCAAAATTTTTACTTCCCAACAAGGGAATGCTATTTCCAAAGCATTCTCTTCAACTTAGGGAACACAATGAAATGTACTGTCAGAGGGTATGATGGGTGTTTAAAAGGCTCATACAGGGAAGATGAGATGAGCTCAATGGACACAAACCCTTTGAGGGTTAATAAACACAAAGAAACCACATTTATCTGAAGAAGTCCCTGAGTTAGAGACCGCTGATGGCTGGAAGAACACTGCAGAGAACAGTGTCTACCAGCATGTGCTTATAGCTAGGGCAGGAGACGAGACACACAGAGCAACAGGAGCCTTTGGCTGGACCCACAGAGCTGCTCTGTGTCAGTCAGTGTCTCCAAAGAGTGGTCCATGCAGGTCTAAAGGGACCCTGTGTGACCCAATGCAGCCAAAAGTTGGGCACTTGCGGATGGTCAGGACTGCCTTCTGTAGTCTATTCCCAACAACCTTCTATCTGCTTTTGACAACTGTGCTCATTTAAACCAGAAGAATGGTAAACTGCAACAGCTTGATCCATGGAATACTCCAAATACTCACTGAGCTTGAGCACTGGCAAAGCACTAGGTAGTACTGCAAATCATTTATCAATGCCCCATCATTCAGAGGCTTTATTACAGCAAGCACCCATGCCTTCCTGCTTTGGGGAATTCCAACTGATTATGTAGAGTTAAGCTCTTCCTAATGGAATATTCCTCCATAAAATTTCAACAAGACAGATCTTGTTTTCCCCAATACATGCAGATGAAACATAAAATCTAATTCCCAAAACTAACAAACAAAACCACCACCACCAAAACCAATTGATAACACTTCACAGTGAGGATACACACCAGTGCCAACTTGTACAGTTTCAGGATGAGTCTCATGATACCTGACATTCTTCTTAAAAACTGTCTTTCCAAGTAGATGTGTGAAATCCACATTTAAAAATCAAGACACTCTAGTTCTCAAGATGTAGGAAAAGTACTGAAATTAATGCTTCAGTACATACAACAGCTTTACCTGAAGTTAATAAAACAGAATTTGGATTGTTTTTAGATTTTATTAAATTTGAGATTCATTATTTCTCCATGTTAATGGCAAGACAACCTATATTTTTTAGAAGATTATCACTAATGTTTTACAGGTGCCATAATTCACATTTTCAGTGTTCTTGAGTATATGAAAACTACTTTTCATGTATCGACAGCTCTTAACCTTCCCCACAAAGTGAAATATATCAGAACAGAGACAGCACTTTGGAGTCACTTCCCTGACAGTTGTAACTGTAAGGAGAGCAATTTCTTCATTCATGTAAGATGTCTTTGGCTTTCACATGAACTACTTAAAAAGAGAAGGTGTATGACAGAAATGAAGACTGGATTTCATTCCAAAAGCATTAATATTTTTTAAAAGTTAATCACATAGTATTTATTTATTCTACTCCACTGACTCTCTACTTAGTGAAACAAGGCAACACACCTCCTAAAAAAGTCAAAACATACAAAAAAGAACCTGTCTATGCCCCCCAGAGATGTTTCCTGCAGATGATCTTTAACATTTGGAGCAGCCAGAGAACTTCTGCTACAGCCAAAAGGCTTAAACCAGACCAATGCAGGATGGACCCTTTGTTCAACAGGAATGTCCTGACTATATCGTGAGAGTTTGTATTTTGGCATCCAGGCCTTCGCTACAGTGTGTGTTATGAAACTGCAAACATGTTCACCGTGCTAATTTAAAACTTTTTAAATTAAAGCTTCATCAGTAGAATTGTGCTGGGTCTAAAGGTCTGTAGTTTACATAATTCATGGGCTGGAGATTTTGCATGTGCTGACTGCTGACCAAACAAGTCATTACACTCCACTTACTGACAAGGCCACTGAACGTTGCAAAAACTGGTTGGGTAGAACGAAGGTAAGAAGGGAGGTGGGGGGAAATCACTTGGAGCATTTACAATTGATCATGTCAACTCACAGTTGCACATTAAATTTACATATTACCATTATTTAAAGCTTTTTAAGCACCAATATGTGATTTTTTTTTTAGAGTGCAATTAGAAGAATGACTTTTCTTTGTAATCACATTACCCTGTTGTGATATTCTTTCCATTCTCATGTAAATACTTATTGAGCACAGACATAAACTGAACAGCACTTTCTCAGAGATAATAAATTAAAGTTCATTTCCATTCCTCCAAGACAGGGAGTTTTATAGAAAAGCCTGACAGATACTTACCCATCATGGAATTTTCACTTTAATACTGATGAATACATGCATATTTGCCTTCTTTTAAGATACACAGTACTTTGCCCCTCATCATTAAACTATTTCTCCCTTGCAGCTAACAAGGGATTTGTCTAGTATGATAAAACTCTAGTCCTTCCTTTGAAAAACCCAATGAGCAAGCAAGCAGGACACTCCCCCAGTTTCATCTCTGCAGACTAAAGTAGGCAAGAGAGAAATTACACTACCTTAATTGAGATTTTTAAGCTTCTCTCAGATAATGAGGCTGATTTGGAAATTCTCTTTTTCTCCAAACAACGTTTGATCATTTTAGGATAGCTGAATTCTTAACTTGGCCAAAACAGCATCAATAAGCCAAAAGAGCAGTCTCTGATTTCTTTACTCATTGGTTTTCCTCTTGTGGAACTGGTTGCAGGCTTTTCAATTAGTAAGAAAGCAAGACATCGTGCCTTTGCTCCCGTTTACAATTTAATTAGGATGCTTTGTTCTGGGTTTTTTTTAAAGCATTTTTGCCCCCCAAACACATTCCAGTTTACAAGAATATTTAAGCAAC